GCAGGTCCAAGCCTGCATGCACCTGCTGTCAAATGTATTAAACTGAACCGCTGATTCAGGTGCTCTAACAAGTGTTTTCAGTAAATTTCCCATGATGATTCACCCCTCGCCCCTGCACTCATTAAGCCCACGGGACAGGCTTGCTTTGACTCATCTCTGTTTATAGGTCGATCCAGACAACACACACTAAAGGGACCCACTCCTCAAAACATGTTATCAAGCTCTTTTTAGATTAAATATCTAGATGGCAACGTGCACACTAAGCAAGCTAAGAATTTGGATGAGGCTCAGTCTAATATAAAGGGTTAGTTAGTCACAACTCATTACCCTTACTCTAAATGTAATCCTGTATTTACCTTATATCACATCTGAATCCATGAAAGAGGGCGGTATGTTGCACAGGAAAAATATGACCGAAATTACAGGAAGTAGAAAAGTATTCACATTTGTTTCAGACAATGAGTTTGTCTTGCACAACAATAACAGTTTTGAAGTTTTATATACCGTTTTAAATGCTAATGCGAGAGCCCAATTTCCCTGCAATGACCATTAAAGTTGAAACTAATTTGATCTAATTGGCACTACCAGACCCATTTCATTCCTTTATAAGCTCATTTCAGCAGACCCATATTGTGAATATCTTACCTCAGGCCATCTCCTAACCAGGAGTCATTTTAATTGCCACGTTGCCATCTGGTGTATGGATGAAGTGTCTGTATCAAAGCCATTCCCACCACACTAAATGTATTTCACAAGTCTTACCTAAGGCTCTTGGGCTAGAATAAAGTTTACAGTTCCTTTCCTCTTTTGACTGACTGTATGAGGTTGAGTCTTTGGCTAGAGGCTTATTCAGGCCTGCTGATAGTCTAATTTAAAATGACCATGTGTGTGTCTAAAGCTGTCTGTATATGAAACTAGACAGGAAGTGCATTCTCTACTGTTCTGTAAAATACTTCATTTATTACATTGTATTCATGTGGCTTTGTTAGGAAAAAAACATTAAGGTCCAAAACTTGACATGGCATCTTGGTGTACTTATTATGAAAAGCCAAAACCTTTATTCAAAGCATCATTGTGTTGCTATTCAAGTAACACCCTATAGTCTATAATATCAGTGAAATAATCATAGTACATAGCTAGTGTTTTTGTATTGTTATCCCTGACCCTGACAATGACATGCTATTTCACACAGTGCCACTACCTGCGAGACACCAATATGGACGACATTAAGAACTGATTCTTAAACCCAATCATTTGTCTTCACCGGAAAACATTTGATCCTGATGTAATTCGAAGACATATCCATCAGATCACCAAGGTCCCTATAAAGCTCTGTTTAGCATTAGCATGTGTATAGCAAAGAGAAAAGGTCACAGAAAAGTATTTGAAATTGGAGTATAATATAATTGGCTCTCATAACCGATTTAACAATGTAACCCGTGGATTAAGGCTTAAATAGTCAAGCAGACTATGTTTCTATACAATCAACTGGTCTAGCTTAGAAATATATATTCTTTCTTAGTTTTACTTCACTGTTTAGTCCAAAGGGTGGCAGTAGCAAGCCAAAAAGCCAGACAGTATACTCAATCTATCTAAATACGGCAGCTCAGAGAAACAACTGCATCTCCAAGATTGTTGTGATCTGAGCCAATATGTGACCAGCATTCATCAATATCTATACAAGGAAATAAATGTAGGCTATATACATATAGCCCACTTTTACAATAACAAACATTATAACGGCAGAAAGCAACATTTCTGCAACACAAAAAAAAAACTAGCCTGCTGTACAAACACACCCCGTATAATATTCCACAAGCATGTGAAATCACAATGACATCTTCAATGTGAAGGTCTGTGGAGCAGACACAGACAGGCTGCAGCATGCCGCTCTATGACTGCATATGAATCACAGCATGATAATCAAACTGCTGAACCTGAGCCAGACATCACACACACACACACACACACACACACACACACACACACACACACACACACACACACACACACACACACACACACACACACACACACACACACACACACACACACACACACACACACACACACACACACACACACACACACACACACACACACACACACACACACACACACACACAGAAATGTGTAAAGTGACAACAGCACATTCTCATATGTGTACTCTATTAAATTCACACATGGGGAAAATAATCGTTTACTTGATTGAAAAATAAACTTTTCATCAATTGAATGGTGGAAATGGCAGTTTACCAGCACAAACCTACAACTCAGTTGAAATGATATTATTTGAAATGGTTGCAAGTGTAAATGATATCAAATGAACTTCTGACCAACCTATGGTAGGTTTTGTTTGCCTGAAAGTTGCCAAAAACAACTACTGTATGTCCGTGCTGCTCACCTGTAGCTGCAAGGCCCACATTGACAGTAGAAACAGTGTTTGCAAAGTGTGCCGGTTTTGTGATTGTCATGGGGCCCGAGTCTGACTCCTGTCTTACACCCCAGTCTGAACTGTAGGCGGACAGTAAGAGGACCGGAATGAAACTGCAACAATTTAGTTCTGTACACCACCAATGTCAACTCAGGTCAGAGACTAAGGTCAAATCTAGGGTAGGCCAAGGTCAGATGCAGGACCTCGTGGCGCAACGGTAGCGCGTCTGACTCCAGATCAGAAGGTTGCGTGTTCAAATCACGTCGAGGTCAAATTATTTTAAGGACTGCATATATTCCACTAAGCGTGTGCTATTATCTGTTAGAAGAAATTACACAAAAGTTTAAGAAAATAACTGTTCAGCTCTGCTATCAAAATACAGAAAGCAGGGTGATTATGAATTACTTGGAAAAAGATTGCACCAAATGTAATGCATAAATTGCCAATGTCAATTTGAAATGACTATACTTATAGTTGACAGCTCTAACTTCGGCATGTTATGGCTAAATGGATTCTTTGTTTTATGATCATTGTAAACTCTTATAACATTGAGGGTAAAGTGTTATCATCACCAGGCTCAAGTCAGGCAACAAAATGTGGAACAAAAATAAATCAAAAACACAAATGTTCATAGATTTCCAAAAGCAGCAGACCAACAACAATCTTGTCGCAGCACACCCCAGGAAGCATGTGAAAGCACTACATCCATAATAAAAACAACAGTTTTGTCATGAAGGGGTTACAATTGACATCCTAACTGTGTTCCTGCTTGCAGTAGAGTTTGACAGGGCCAGAGAAAATAGCTCATGGAAAGAACTGGACGGACTGGATTTACTACTAACAACTAGACATACAAAGAAGCAAACACCCACTGCGATAACATCATAGGTGCACACACACACACACACACACACACACACACACACACACACACACACACAGGCAGACGGTGTCTCCACTAGTGTAAAGTTAGTTGTCTCGGCACAGATCCAGCTAAGCTAACCACTCTGTGTCATTTAAGTGAACTACAAACTGTGTTAGTATGTCATGACTGTATAATCACTATGATTTAAGGCTGTCTGATATTGGCAAGTGCTTGACACTATAATACAGATAGAGCTGTAAGATAACCTTTATAGTATCACTGTAAAACATTCTCATGAGAGTCATTTACAAGTATTAACAAATCAGCTGTTATTGTAATTGTTTGGTTAGGCTAATATTTCAGCATCTAATGGTATCAGTGGGATGTAAGGAGGCCAGACGACCACCAGGGGGAGCAAATATGTACAGTAATCAGACTATTGGAAGATAGTGATAGGGAGAAAAACATATTTATATGGTAGGTGGTTTTCAGCTTAATTCCTAAAATGTCTTTCTGTGTTTCTTTCTACTACAGGAGTTGGATGAGGACAGGAGAGGACAACATAGGAGAAGGAAGAAAAGGGGTGTTTTAGACAGCAGGTGCAAAACAGCTGCTCCCACCAATGATCCCATCTGATGTGTAACCATGGCACCTACCATATATTCATTATAAGCACATGCACTATACTCTTCTTTTCTCTCATACACATCATTTTGTATTCATGCACAAATGGACACAAACAGCCACCTGCATATCAAACAGTCAAAACTATTCTGAAAAATGCACAGCTCACTGAACTTTAAAACTTAGACATCAAATATGGGAAATCTAATGCACAACATGAAACGGCATGATTTACTGTATTTTCAGATTTCACAAGACAGCAGTGGTTTTCAAGACATACAAGTCACCCTGAGAAAAGTGATAGGAATCAAAGATAAGACTTTCAATAGAAACTCACATGTTTCATCACTTTTAGAGAAATACATCTTAATGTACTACACCGGGTTACTTTGTGTTAATAGTAGACAACTATCCTTATGTGACACATGTGATATCATTAACTCATTTCCCACTCACAGAGACACAAAGCGGTTACAGCTCACTAACTGGCCTAACATCAAAGCTAAAGGATAGTGACTCAGGTGTAGTCAGCACTGCTCCCATGGGAAGGATGCAGTGGGATTGTGGGTAATCATTTGCAGTTGGTCTAGTAGTGGGTGGGGTGGGTAGTGTGATATCATGCTGCTTTTGAAATAGATGTGGCCCACACACTCTCATACTTGAAAATATAGTAATACACACACTCTCACACACATCAAAGTGGAGCCTTGATGCAACACAGAAGAAAACGCTGTATCATTCAACCCTCCATGTATGAAAACAAAGGAGGGCTTTCAGGAGGTGGGAATGATTAAACAGAGAAAAATGGTGGTTTGCAGTAGTTAAGTGTTCTGTAATGTCATGAGTAATGATGAGAGCATAAAAGCATACAGGTGCACATGTTAGAGAAACTATCTGTAGTACTGCCAAAGCTTTATGCAAGTATTCAGCTTCCAGATGTAACCAAAGCTAGTTGTGCACAAGAAAGAGGAGAATGGACATGTGAAGAGGTGGCAAAAAGGACAGTTTGGGGAGATATACAAATAAATTAAATATGCAAACACACTCAATTCCAATGCACCCACTCCATTGACTCACCCTATCTTTGTCATCCACCACATCGCAGAGCATGTCATCCAGGTCCAAAATGCCTCCATCTCCATGCTCCAACCTGTGTACCTGGACCCAGTAGCTGGGGTCCTGGAAGACAACAAAAGAAACTATTAGCTCTGTCATCATAAGATCAACTTTATTTGCACAATACAGACTTAGGATGTGAAGCCTTATGTAAGTAAAGCCATACAACATGTTGTATGCCAGGCCAAAGAAATAAGAAGCTTGGGTCTCCTTGGGAATCAGCTGATCCGATCACCACAGGGTTCGTATGATGATCCAGTTAGCTGGCACACAGAGGCTCTGACGTTGATATGGATTGACATCATCAAAAGCAGTTATAAAATAGGAAATATTTTAATCCCAAACTGGATTGCCTGCAAAGTAAGCATATGGTTTATATATTTTGGGAGTATGAAAGCAACATTTGATAAAAAGGGACAACAGGAGAAGTTCCATTTATCAGTTCTTATACAATGTAGGCTATACAAGGTGACACGCCTCCACCCGCCCCTGCTCAGTTCAAAAACTGTCTGTCTCGTTTTTGCATCACCATATGAATATCATTCATGCAAACTTGATGCATTCAGGTACAGCATGTAGCACAAGTAGAATCAACTCAGTGAGTCAATATGTTGCTGAGCTAGTTATGCTAGTTTGAACTCAATTTTGAACAATTATGCAGAGTTGCCTTAATAGAGAAGTATAGTTTTGAATAGAACAGTTACATAAGCGATGTGTAATTTGGATGTTAGATATTAAGAAATAAAACTCGTTTTCCTTTGCCATGTAAAGAACGTAACTCCCCACTCGTTTGTCTGTATTGAGTTTTCACTCTATATTCCTCCTTTCTCTTTTCCTCCAAGCTGAGCCGTCTTGGGGTTTGTGGTTACATGCCTTCATGCATGGATCTGATGTAGAGAACTGCAATGTGGTTCACCAGGCAAAATGGTCTTAATCATGAGGGGATTCACGGTTTGGTATTTCCTTCCTCCCGAGGTTATTAGGAATTAAAAGATGGCAAGTTTATCTGGGACGTTTTCAAGACAAGCCATTTGGAAGCAGAAAGAACAATTACCCATTTCCCATGTTAGTAAATAAGAAAAAATGACAGCACAATTGATATATGATTTACTACCGCAAACTGACCCTCAGCATTAAACAGGGGAACAAATCTTTAAATGTACAAATGTTAACACGCCCCATGTAGATTTGGCTTGGTCCTCATCCCGACTTGTTCCTCGAATGGATTATGAGGAACAAATATGAGTCTGAGAGAGGCTAAGCCCCATAACTTAATCCCAGAATTTCACTGGGGATGGAAGGAAAGTTCGACATTGAATGTTTCGATTTGCCTTGGTTAAAATGTTGTTGTTTTTGGCCTCCAGCGAGCCAAGAATGATCAGTTCAAGGACTCTTCATTATGAGAGTATCAGCAAAGAATTCTGGGATTGGGCTGAATGCTTTTGTGTATACTGTAAATACCAAGGTCTTAACTTGCATACAAATATTAAGAATTGTTCATCCCCTCATTTGACCCCCACCCTATTAAACCTAGAATTTATTTAGAAAGATATCCAACTATTTATAGTGGAATATTTGTAATATAAAGAATAATCTCAAGCACATTTTTGCTCAAATGGAAAATCTTTTGAGTTTTTTAGTAGGTAAAGAGGACCAAAAAGTGAAAAGAACTTTCATCAAATGTATCAGCTTACATTTGAACACATATGGGCTTAATCAAAATGTTGAACATGCCGTATGGAAGCCAGTACAAATTGACTGAAAAGAAAAAGACAGAGCTGATCCTCAGGACAAAGAGTGCATCGTGACATTCAAACATGTATAATACTGTAGCGTACAGAAACAGCGGGTAGGGAGGACAGCTGTGGAGTTGATCAAGTGTTAGCTCAGCACTCTACTAGATCATTGCGTTGTGTAAGATTGGCTATTGAACAGTAACCTATGTAGCTTTCTAGCTTTGAAATCTGTATTTCTCTATAACTACAGAAATATATATTTATTTGAATACATTGATCTTTGCACAAAACCCACATCAGATCTACAAACAGCTTCCATAGGGTTGATAATCTCAAGTGCAACCACATGTCACCTGAGAGAAAGGGCTTTACCGGCCCTGACCACATCAACACCCCATCACTATTCAAGTCCTGGAAGTACCCCCCTTCATGCAAGCACTGCAACCTTGAAATGATATAGACACTGCCCGTAACAGCTGTATGTGAAAACACAAATGTCTGAATATTTCTGATGTCATTAAGCTGCAAGCTCCCTAGTACAAAGCATGTGTTATATTGGGGCCCATTTGTGAATAAGTCCGCTAATTGGTGGGAACATTTACTGTGCGTTTCTGATATTTCTATCGCAGGTGGAATTCAACCGTAAGAATACAAAGATCTGAGGAACTTCAGTCGGTTAGGGCTGAAGACTAAATGACAAACCTGCTTTGTGACCATCTGCATCAGACACTACCACCTGGACGCTTTACACAGGCGTCGCCCCTCGCCTGAACCAAAATAAGGATTCCCAGAGGGGGGCGGGGACGCATTTGACACCAACAGGCTCCTGTTATATCCAGACCTGATTTTCTTGTAATTGCCTTGAGTTGATAAAACGGCTTTAAGATGTTTAATCAAAAGCTAAGAGGATATGAGGCAGCACTGAATAATTTGATTAACAAATGTACAGCTTTGATAGACAATCTACAATACATACAAAAGACTTTGTATGAATATATGTAGGGCGTGCCAGTGTGTATTGTCTTCCAGTCAGCTTTACTCATTCATTCATGAATTGTGGAACGCCACCCTTGTCTGATCAGGTATCAACTTATCTGATCTACTGTGGAAGGTGAGGGATAACAGAGAGGTTGTTCTCTGTGTCACAGACATACACACACACACACTTGTGACATAAGCCCACACAATAGCTTACCCTATTATCTGTGTCTCTGTACCACAGTGGTTTGCCTGTTCCTGTCAAAGACCACACAAAGACGTTTGCCCTCGAGGAAACTGGGGGGGGGGGGGGAAGTGTGTGTGAGAAAGAGAGAACATGTGCCTGTGTGTTTTATGATTCAGCTCCTACGAGTGCTACAATTTCCACAGGGGGGAATATGATTGGCGAGATTTTGTTCTCAAATGTCAGCTTTCAGCAGGACCTCGTGGCGCAACGGTAGCGCGTCTGACTCCAGATCAGAAGGTTGCGTGTTCAAATCACGTCGAGGTCAGGACCTTTTAAAGGCTGACAAATCATGCTGCATATATGCAGTCGGGACACTAAACACGCTTGGAAAGTGGAATCAGAATCAATGAAGAGAGATGCCAGGCAACATGGAGGGCTTTAGTAAAGATAACCCCCAGACATGTCTTTCATTACCATTAAGAAATGTTGAGCATTTGGAGATGATCCATTAGAGATGCAGTTTCACAAATCAAAATGTAGAAATATACGGGCCAGATCTAATCGATTAAAGACGGCATCAAAAACCTCTGCTCTGTAAATGGAGAAAGAGGGAGAAGTGGGATGTGGGAAGTATGCAAGCACCCAACATCAAGAGTCACAAGAACAATATTGTGTTCATTTTATCACCGTTTTAAAGGAAAGTGCCGTTTTAATCAATCTAGTAGATTACACACCTTGAAATGTAAATGTTTTTTAGATATGGAATCATTTGTAATATCGTTTAATGGCAATTTCACATCTGACGTCTATTTAATCTTGGATTTATTGATTTCAAAAAAGAATAAAACATTGTCAAATTTGGTCAGTTGTTAGTTCAATTCATCAAATGCAATATTTCACACAAAATAACTAGTTATGATATGAAGAACTAGTTTCAGGTGAGGGTTTTTTGTAACATGTTGACCTTAAAATGGAAAGGCCCACTGGCTTCCCAAACATATTTGTTGAAGATCTTCCTAAAGAAAGCACTAAGAACACTTTGCACTTGAACACGCTTCCTGTGTGCTAACTTCAGGAGAAAGATGCGTCACTGTAAATTAGAACATATATTGCAAATGAGCTATCACCTTTCTATAGACCGAACCCCCTTCAAATGTGTTTCGACTGGAGGATTGCATGATCAGTTTAATTTAAAGACTGTGTACAAATAGTTTATTATTATAATGCATAACTTAATTTCACCTTGTCAAACAACCAAAATAATGATCTCATTAAGTGAGGACTGCACCATCTCCAGACTTCCACTGTCTGAACAAAGAGCTTACGCACAACTATTAGGATTTCACCTCTGACCTCCGGAGTACCGTCCTCGCTGTGATTCACCAGTTCAAATCAGCAGTTCAACCTCCTATTTTAAAAGTGTGCACTCAGCAGCACAATAACGCCTGTGATTGATGGAGTGTATGCTCACCCCGTGAGTCATAAACACTAGTGTCACAAGCGTTCTGCCTCTCTTGTTCCCTCTCTCACACGGATAGACACACACCTCCCTAACTCCTTATCCTCGCCAAATACATTCACTGTGGAGTGAAAGTAAAATAAATGCAAAATAGAGGACAGAAGAAAGAATCAGCATAGTGCTACAAGGCCACATGTAGTGCAGCTTACGTTTTGCTATGTATGTTTTAGGAAGATAAAAAAAACATCCGCAAACACTTCATATCAAATCTCACCAAGAAAAAATGCTGTCATCAATGTATATGCTAATTTGAGTTCAACATTTGCAAAGGTTTGAATTCATCCTGCTAGTTCCTGTGCTTGAAAATTCACACAGAATAGGCTTCACAAAAACACACACACACACACTAATGCTTTTGAAATATACTCGGATACAAAAAATGACTCACTCCTACAGTATGACCAAACTAAAATGTCTGTTGAGTAAAACATTTACATTTTAATCTTGTCAGTTAGATCAAATAGTATTAGCTTACAATGCTGACTGTAGTTCTCTTTTAAAGACAGAATGTCCCTTAGGGCATAACAACTGCTTCCACAAGGACAATGGCAGTCCCAAACGGTGGTCTAAATCCAGCCTGTCTGTGAATAGGCCCATAGTAATGAGCTAGTGTAGTGAATGAAGCCTTACACTGATATTCCTC